TTGGTGTCAGAAATGTTGACATTTTGGCCACCCAGCCAAACACTCGTTCCACAGCCCACTACCCTCTATATGCCCAACCTGGTCATAACTGTTCAAATTGCCCTGCTCAGTCACGTATGTGTGCCAGTTGTGGCTCCCATAATTTATTTTATAGGAGCTGTTGTGCCTGTAAGCTCGATTATTAGGTAGCAGTTTTTAGATTCAAATTTGGCTCAGTGTACATGAGCCCAGACAGGAAGCACAGCAACAAGGTTTTTCTCTCTCTAACTATTCCAAAACAGTCCTTCGCTTTGCTCCCCCATCTTTTCATGATGTCTCAACATCTCTCCCAGTATCTCTTCCCTCTTCCATTAACCATCCTACCTCTACTCCTCTTCTCCCCCAGTCAAATTCCTTTCCAGTCTAAATCCAGATACTCTAATCTCTACCACTTTCTGATGCCAACCCCTCCTCCTTGACACTTTACCTGCCCCATCAGACAACCTAAATGTTCCACTACATCTTCGCTTTCCACATCCTCTCCTACACTCTCCTTTTCCTCTGCTCCTCCAACATCAATCCCCTCTTCTCCCCCTCACAAGAGAAGCTCTCCACTCAACTACCCCCCAGAAACTCTTGATGAATTCCAAAAATTCCTTGACATGACCCAAGAAAATGTTCTGCTCCCTCATCCATCCTCCAATCCATCTTTTCCTATTCCCTCTACATTCAAAGTATTTACCGATATCCATCCTCCTTTCCCTCAAGTGTCCCCCACCCCTCTTCCTCCCACCCGTTCCTAAGACAACCCCTCCTCTCTTTCTCCATCTTCACCATTCCCTCTTTGTTTCCAGTTATCCTTACCTTTCCCACCTAGATTTTCCCATGAATTCCTTCTGTCGCAACAGTGTCCTTCTCCATATCCCTCCCCTCTTGACACTCTTCCTGATACTTCACCACCTTCTCCATTCCCCTTATCTCATCCCCAGATTATTCTCCTGCTACTTCTCCAACAGTTATCTCTACTTGTATTACCCGTTGATTACTTCTTAATAGCTCTTTTGCCAGTTTTTGCATGGAACAGTGTTCAATATAGATACACTCCATTTCATCCAAGCACCCTATGCCCTTAGCCTTAATCTCTAATTTACTTCATTTGCACCCCCTCTTTATCCTTTTCCCTATTTAACTATCCTATTACACTATATAATCTTTGACATTTAACACACTTTATCCTAATCTTTAAATCAATTTTACCATTTTTGCCACAATACTTTACCATAGTGCTCTATGACTTTAGATGTCTAGTACATTTATTTGTTTCAACCATTAAACGTAAACCATTAAATACTTTTGTTTTATTTAGGCTTTTAGAATATTGTCAGCTCAGAATCTTTCATTACCAAGTAAAATCTGCATCATTAACATCATTATCACCATCACAGCCACCATTAGTATGGCATTATTATAATAAGCATCACCATTATCATTACCAGTATCAACATCAATATACCAGGATAATTGCCACCTTTGAGTTAACTAGGACTACCACTAGCACTACATTGCCATCATCACTAATACAATCATCATAACAATTATTACCACTAATCAATATAAAATCAGTACAGTTAATCTTCATTTTATGGTGCCCCTGCTTATGTTGTTTTGATATGTGTTTTTTCCTTTCTTTTTCTTTATCTTCATGGCTCACTGTTTTTAAACATTATGAGTTTCAGAGTAACTTTATTTTTGAGCTAAGTTTTTGTGAATTAGTGAGCAGTTCTCAGGATTTTGAACACGTCTTGTGCTTTCCTCTCTCCCACTCTACGCCCTTCCATGCTTTGCCTGTTATTGGGGCCGTTTGACACCTTTGCTCCTCTTATGAGATATTGACCTCAAAAATGGCTCTGAAGATGACATCAGATAATGATGAAGACAGCACGAAGTAAAGAAAGCATATCACTTGCTTTGAGCTGTGTTATCCAGTGTTTTGGTAGTGATGTTGCCCTCAACTTTGCAAACAATGTAGGTGAAGAAGATCAAGAAGATAGAGAACCTGGGTTCCCCAGTAAGTAAGTTCCATGCAAGTTATTCTCAAAGCACTGTGTAAGATATGATAATTGTCTCATTTCATGTTATTACATTTTACGGTACAGATTCAGGAATGGAAATCTACCATAAACCGAGGGTTACCTGTACTAGAATTCTCACCAACACTATTAGTGTGACCATTATCATTGTCACCAAAATTACTAACATAATTATTGCCAACAGCATTATCATTTTCAAATTTACAGATACCATGGCTTTTATAATCATCAGTATCACAATCATGATTACCATCAATATCACCTGTTATCATTACCATTGCCATTATTTTATCATCACAAGTCACCATCATCTTTGTCATGATTATCACCATCACACTCATTGCCACTGCCATCATTATCATCAATTTCTTTGGTGCCACTATACTTTAATACCAATAAATCAAGAAGATGAATACCCCTTTTGTCAACAGGCAGTCTTTGCTTTGATGTCAGACGATGCATCCAAGGATGAAAAAGCAGAGAAAAAGGGGTCATGTTACAACCCATGGACAGAGCATGAAGTGTCAGACAAGAGCATTGCAGATTGTGTGGAAGCCATAATTGGAGCCTACCTCCTTGTGTGTGGGAATGAGGCAGCAGCAGCCTTCTTGCATTGGCTTGGAGTTGGCGTTTTCAGGGTAAGAAGAAAAAGAATGAGTGAATGAACCTTACAGATGGCGTTTGAAGTTTCAAATATGGATGAAGTGTGCTTGGCAGTGAAGAAAGAAATAGTGATGGATTGGATTAAAGGGGATATTGATTAATGCATTTGTGTTTATATTTAAGAGTAGATATTTTGATATGTATATCCATGGTTTAGCTGAAAATTAGTGAAAACGATCTGCAAAATATATCAGTAAAAATGATTTTATATAAAAGGATAAAGTATATCTTCTGAAAGAAGATCTGAAACAATGATAGTTATAAGAGAAATATGTATGACTCTTGGTATGAAAAGTGTTGCAATATCTAATTATTACTTTGATGTAAAAATTAACAAGTAAATATAAAAACGAGTTGAAACTTTTTCAATAGTTTTAAAATTTATTTCTGTTGATTTACATTTTCCAACGTATATCCCCAGACTTACCCTGTAAAAAATTCTCAGTTGGCATGTAAAGCGAGTACACAAATTTTGATAATGGCATGCATAAAGAATTTTGTTTGTATAAATAAATGAAGAATTTTAGCAAATTAATATTTCATATACTTTTATCTCATGCATATCTTTATCTAGGTAAATCAATTTTATCTAGGTAGTCAGTTTTCTAGATGCTTTTTTTCCTGCTATTTCCAGCTAGATTGCCTTCAGAGATTGTAACTTCTCTGAGTCTTGATAAGTTTAAAAGATCAGCTAACATGTTTTTCTTACGCAATTAGCTGACTTTCTATTCTTTCATTCTTTCTTAGCTGTATCTTGACCTGTGCTGATACCTTTGGTGGTATAAATCTTTAGTTTTTACAGTGTGGCTCTCTATGTAGCTTACTATATAAATAATGATGATAATAAATCACCTTAATGAAGTACAATTTAGAATAACAAAAAATAAATCCACCCTTTATATGCATAAAATGTGCAAAATAATGTTTCCTGATTTATGGAAACCTTAACTTTAACAGTAACTTTCTTGATAAGTTAAACAAAACACTATTTGTTTAAATTATTATTATCAATATTATTATTATTATTATTATTATTATTATTATTATATATATATTATTATATTATTATTATTATTATTATTATATTTTATCATTATCATTATCATTTATTTTATCATTATTATTATCATTATTATTATCATTATTATTATCATTATTATTATTATTATTATTATTATTATTATTATTATTATTATTATTATTTTATTATTTGTTATTATTATTATTATTAATATTGCTGTTGTTGCTGTTATTATGTAATCATGATAATAAATAATAATAATAAAAAAAAAAGTAATAATGATGATTATTATTTTTGTTATTATTACTATTATTATTATGATGATAATAATAATGATAATAATAATAATAATTCTTCTTCTTCTTCTTCTTCTTCTTCTTCTTCTTCTTCTTTTATTATTATTATTATTATTATTATTATTATTATTATTATTATTATTATTATTATTATTATTATTATTATTATTATTATTATTATCATCATCATCATTATTATCATCATTAACCCATCAGCGACGGTTAAAATTTTGTCAAGTTTCCGTATGCGCCGGCTTGTTGGCATGCACTGGCAGTTTCCCCTGTTTGCACCCGGCTCGATCGGTAGTTTGCGAGCGACATATAGCACCTAAAAGCTTTTATTTTTCAAAAATTTATGAAAATATTAAAATTTTGAAGGTTTACCTTCACTTTAGGTGCCATTGCCTAAAATCTTTACCATATAAATGAAGCCGCTACTAATGGAGGAAAACACCCTCCGTCCGATGAGCCAGTAGCGCGGGAATGGGCATGGCATGATGCCCCCAGCGTTTGGTCCACAACAGCCATGGCATGTACGTACGTGACACCCGGCGCCAATGGGTTAATATTATTATCATTATTATTATTGGTATTATTGCTATTATTATTATTGTTTTTGTTTCTTTGATGATAATGATGATTATTATTGTTGTTGTTATTGTTATTATTGTAATTATAAAGGAATGATAATGAAAATAAAGATGATAATAATAACTTTCAAATTGATAATAATGATCTTGATGTTTATAGTATTGATAATATTAATGATAATAGAATAATAGAAATATTAAAATGTTTATTGTAATTATGATATTTATAATGGTAATAATGATTATTAATACTGCTATTATCATTTTTATCATTACTAATAATGATAGAAATAATAGGAATGGTAAAAAAGATAATACTTCCAATAAAAAATGGTAATGATAATGCTACTACGACTACTACTAATTCTTGTTATTAGTATTCTCTTGTTACTTTTAGTATTCCTTTTATTACCATTATTACCTACTATTACTATTGCTATTACTATTACTGTTACAGTACTATGACAATTAATATTTTTGTTATTATTATTGTTATTATTGTCTTCTGTTTTTTTATTGATCTGATAATTCTGATAATTATAATCATCATTATTTTTATCATTATTGTTATTTTTTTGTTATTATTATTAGTAGTAGTATCATTATTATTATATTTCTTCATATTATTATTGTTATTATTATTGATATTATCATTATTATTATCATTATTATATTTTGTATCAATATGATTATATTATCATTATTTTTATCATTATTGTTATATTTTTATTATTATTATTATTATTATTATTATTATTATTATTATTATTATTATTATTATTATTATTATTATTATTATTATTATTATTATTATTTTTATTATTATTATTATTACTATTGTTATTACTATCATGTCACCGCTCCACTATTTCCTTATAACTTCATAATTACTTAGTTAATTAAGGTGGAGCAGTCACTTCTCAATAGTACATTGATCACGTTAGTGATACTTTCCTTTTGTCGATTCTTTAGACTTAGATTTTCCATTGCTTCAATAATACGATAATGCTATAGTTCAATATTTACACGGGCACAGATTCACGAGGCAATAACTGAGTGAACGTGAGAGCGACTTGCTACTTGCTTGGCCTTATATACACTCTTAATGCTGACTGGGGTAGTTTTACTAGCCTCTCACAATCCCCTTAAGATCCGTGCTTGATCTTGCCGTAATGAATTGATAATATCTGTGCTTGTCAATAACAATTGTTATCATTGTGACAGTTACATAGAATATATACTCCAATATTATAAAAGGATTGACATAATTACTTACTACCATCCCCATGACATGGAAGGTGCCCTATGACTTGTCAACTTGTTTGTCTATGTGGAACTTTGGAATATTTTTAACTCCCTGTGACAATCATTATCATCATTATTATCATTATTATATTTGGTATCAATATGATTATTATAATTATTTTTGATATTATTGTTATTATTATTATTATTATTATTATTATTATTGTTATTATTATTATTATTGTTACTATTATTGATATTATTATTATTATTATTATTATTATTATTATTATTATTATTATTATTATTATTATTATATTATTATTATTATTATTTTATTATAATTATTATTATTATTATTATTATTATTATTATTATTATTATTATTATTATTATTATTATTATTATTATTATTATTATTATTATTATTATTATTGTTGTTGTTGTTGTTGTTGTTATTGTTAATATTAATGTCATTATCATTATTATTGTTATTATTTTATGATTATCACTATTGTTGTCATTGTGTTGATATTGTTGTTACTGTTATTATTATTGATAATATTATTCTTATAATTGTTATTGATATTAATAATATTATAATATAATTATTGGCATTGTTGTTATTATAATCATTATTATTATGATTATTATAATTTTTATATTATTATTATAATTGTAATTGTTGCTATTATTTTTCATTGTTATCATTATTACTATTATTATTGTTATTGTTGTTATTGTTGTGGGTTTTATTATTATTATTATTAATATTATTATTATCATTATTATTATTAATATTATTAATATTATTATTATTATTACCATCATTATTATTATTATTATTATCACTATCACTGTTGTTGTCATTATTATTATTATTATTGTTATTGTAATCGTTATTGTTGTTATTATCATTATCATTCATTATTTATTGTTATGGTTATTATTATTATTGTTATTATTATTATTATTATTATTATTATTATTATTATTATTTTGATTGTTATTGCGATTATTATTATAATTATTATAATTATTATTGTTGACGTGGACTGTATGATTATTCTAGTGTTTTTTGCAAAATAAGTGACAATAAGGAAAAGAAAAAGATCAAGAAAAAAGGTGACAGGGGAGATCAGGTGGGACTAGTGGACTGAGCTGCAAGTATTTGCCTTCTATTTGTTTACAAATTTACTAAATCAAAGTCATAGTGGATATGGAATGCATATACATGCTGTCCTGGCTGCAAGGGGTTTCCCTCGGAAGGCCTGTTGGCTTGATCTCGGCCTTGTACCTTGAGCGGCCAGTCCCATCTACCCTGATTGCACACAGGCTGTGATAAACTCAGGAAGTTTGCCCTTTTTTTTTTGTAACTGATGGGAAAAAAATCCTACAATATTATATTAGAAAACCTGTATAGGACAGTTATGGAGTAATGGGATAATTTTGCATTTAAATGTATCCGTTATCTAGTAATAAAAACAATAACAGTAATTGTTTTATTTATTATATTATTTATTATTATTATATTATTATTATTATTATTATTTATTATTATTATTATTATTATTATTATTATTATTATTATTATTGTTGTATTATTATTATTATTGTTTCTATCATCATCATTGTCATTGTTATTACTATTGATATTGTTCTAATTGTTGTTTACTATTATTATTATCATTATTGTAATCATTATTATTATTGTTATTGTTATTATTATTGATACTGTTATTATTGTTCATGTAATTGTGTCTTTATTGTTATTACTATAATAATATAGACAAAATCTAAAATTCTCACCTCTAATTATTTAGTCCACCACTTGCAGTTCCCGATGCCAAATATAATAGATTAATTACAAGTGAAACCCCCCAAAACAAACCAAAAATATAATTCCACACTGTTGCCTTGAACAAGAAAATACTCCATCTTTCACCCCAGTAAATACAAATCTAGATCTACCAATTTCCCTTTAATTACGGGAGTGGTTGTGATGCAATGCCACCTGCTACTTGGTACGCATCAGCCATGGCATGTATGTGGGGGAAAGTGTAAAGTAGATTAATATCTGTAGATTACATGATTGCTTTCTACATTTCCTATTTTTCTTTTAGGACAACTCCTTGTTAATGGAACCAAAGACAGTAAGAACTGCTCGTGTGCGTAAGGAGTGTGCACAAGACCTAACCATATTCTACAAGAAAGCAGTCCTAGACCGACTAGAGAAGAAGATTGGCTATACTTTCAGGGACAGAAGCTTCATAGTTCAGGCAGTCACGCATAGTTCATACGTGAATAACCAGGTATGCTCTAAAGTCTCACAAAATTACATGCTGTTTTCTGTATTTGTGGACTACATTACAATTTGTAATGAATGAAAAGATGTAGCAAAGTCCTTTTTAGGTATTTACTCAAGTAAACATATATATATATATATATA